ATTTGGTCAAGTGGAATTCCGATTCTCCTTGCAGGCTTTGATAGTCTTCCCCCTGTGCTCACCAGGTGCTTGTTAAGACAATCTGTGTGACAAGAACCTACAGACACACAGGTCATCTAGATCCTGAGTTACACCACACTGAAGTAAGGTCAGTTGCCAGTTATTGAATTACTACTTCACCAACAGAACAGCAGCAGCGTAGTGTAGAGGGAACTTTAGTTCTGCAGCCAGATCTATCCTCACCACAGGACCTTAGTTGCACAACCACTCGCTGTATATAGACAGGAGTCTACAGAATACACAGTGAGATTTGGGCCTTCGAGAATTCCCTTTGAGGTTTTTTAAAATGACACTTTTCTTTACGACAGACCAAGACTTCCCGCCCGCAAACAAATCAACACTTGAATAGAAATCAGAAGCCCTAAATCATCCGTTGCCAATTTCAAGTAAAAAATTAAAATTGATTAATATCAGTGATCATCATGAATGATCATTATGATCATCAATAATAAAGTGGCATATAATAAATTAACATAATGTATTGTTATCATAAAATAATAAATTGTAAGGAAATTAAACCAATTAAGCTGGGTACGTTGTGGAGAATATACAGAGCATTCAAATTAGCACTGTAACATTTCCAGTTGCCTGTTACTTCATTAGAGAAAAGTGAGTTACTTTCATAGAACAAAAGCTTCCTGCATACTAAAAGAACAATAACTATTTCTGAATCCATTTTTTTTTAGTCATTTAAACCATGTATCCAACATAAAAACATCCCTTTTCTGTTAATAACATATATGTTTAGATAAGAAATGGACCATGCATGTTATCAAGTACCCAATAAAATCTTCGACAATACATCATAACACTCAACTTAGCTAACAAATATCTCCGTATCAGTATTACAGAAGAACATGATGCAGACCTGGTGCTGGGATGTAGTATAATGCCATTAATGCATTATAAATTCAATGTTTTTCTGCCATATAGTTAATGATTTCTCCAAGACAGCCTAATGTGTATCTTATGATAGTATTTCTCAACTTATATAAGAGGAGACACTCAAAATTCACCTTTTAGTTCACTTGCTTATTTGTGTTAAAAGAGTGAAATATAGGGGTAGCCAATATCATCTAGTTTCAGTTGTTCCTGTAAACTATACTGAGCACTAAAAGTAGCTTATCACTATGCATGCATGGTTTAGGAACAATAAAGTATACAGATTTTGGATGTGAATTGAAATTCTTTGTTGTCATTTTGAATCAGTGGATCACTCATGTCTGTCCATGACACACTTGAGTGGCTTTCATTGATGCATGGGATATTAGAGGTTTGTCTGGTGTACAGTAATTCTCTTAGCTGAAGGAACAGCAGCCTGACTGTAAGACTAAGGTTGACCGCACCCCCCCATCACTTTCACTAGGAATGAGCCAGGGAGCTGCCTCAAGGGTGGTGATGGGGTGGAGGGAGGGGTGAGGGGTGATGGGGTGGAGGGAGGGGTGAGGGTGAGATGGGGAAGTTCAGGAGGTGAGTTATATATACATGAGAGAGAGAGGAAGTATGCCAGATTCGGACCAGCCCTTCCTCCCAACTGTCTGTTAAAAACACTCCACTAAGGGCATCCTGACCTCACATTGACCAAGCTGTGGGACCTCACTTGCTGCCCTTCATGCAGGCTCATCCTAACATGACAGCATTCAAGCTGGACAAGGCACATCATCGTGCTGGTCATGCATCAATGATTTTCTGGCTATATGAGCTATATGTGACAGCTGTGCTGTAAGGGCCCTATGTTCCCAACGTGAGTACTACTGAACTTTGAGATGAGCTGGGGGTGATGTGTAACATCTAGAGTTCAGAGACCAGGGAACTGGCAGGTGCTTCTCTAGGCTCTGTGGGCTTAATCAATATAGAACCTTTGACATAGCATCTATCACAGATGTGCAGTGACCAGAGACACTGCTCGCCTGCGACTTTCACTGACTTTCACAGCAGGATTAAAGTTTGCTCACAACCCTGTAGACAAAAAATATTAATCAGCAAGATTAATTGACCTGTATCATTCCTGAGCAATAAAACGTCAGCGTTCTTTCTGCAAAAATATTTTGGCGGTTCGGTCAAATTCTAATGATGACGAAAAGAGCTGACAGGTACAAGAGACAGTGTTATTTGTGCTCTGGCTTCAATACGCCTGGCGGAGGAGTGATGGCACAAGGCGAGGATCAGCGCTGTCACATCTGGGGCATGAGCCAGGAAGGACAGCGGCAGCGGGGATGTTGGGGCGATCGAACGGACGCTCGTGTTCAGCCAGGGAACGGGCAGCCCTGGCCAGTCTGAGACTGGGACTCTGGGGCGGCCAGAGGAAGACGATGTGGTGCACCTCGGCACAAGGGCTACGGGCGGCATGAGCTGCAAAGGAGGAGGCCCAGCTCCGGTGCAGACCCATGCCGCTCACTTGCACCAGCAGGGGGGTGCGGCAGGCAGGGCCCGGGGGCTCCTGTGGAGACAGCGGAAAGGAAGGAACTGGGAAAGAGGAAACAACGGAGATAGCCCGAGGCCCTAGGCGCAGTGGTCTGGACGCTGCTCCAGAAACAGAGAAAGGAGAGGGAAAGACAGGGGGACAGGGGGCGAGACGAGGAGGAGAGGACGGGAAGGGAAAGAGCTCAGGAGACCTGACGGGATGGTGGGAGGAGAGGCGCTCGTTTTCGGTGAGGAGGCGAGAAGGCTGCTCCGGGCCTGGATGAACAGGGCGAAGGGAAGATCCCGGCAGTGCCGAGCGCGGAGCACGTCCGTCTGTCTTTGACCAAGCGGATCACGGAGTGCTGGGAAGGATGCTGCCAGGGAGCTCCGCTACGTTGGGAAGCAAAACTGTGGCACGAGAGTGTGACCTCTACCTGAACACCTGCTCAGTAACACCATGAAGGACATTAACGGATCAGTTATTATTTCTCCTAATCTTACTTCATCATCACTCCTCTGTTGTGGTGACCTGTCATAGTTAGTCTGCAGCTCTAAACAATTGAAGATTCAAGCCCGATAGCAGAACATACCACTGTTTTCTCCAATCTTCTTAAGTATCATCACAAACCATTCTTTTACCTTCCTCTGGATTCTCAGGCTCTGCCATTTTTCTCAGATGCTTTAAATTCCACAGTGTCTTGGAATCTTTTTTTTCCAGTTATTCGCAACTTTTTTTTTCATTTTTAAAGCAATCCAGAAACTTTTCAATTAGTTTTTCTTTTCTTTTTGTGATTACCACTTGTCCTGTATAATGAACTTAAAAAATATTTACAGGGCTCTCACAAAGAAGGATTCTATCAGGACCTGAATGTAAAGAACAAAACTGGTCATTCCAGTTATCAAATTTTAGCAATTATTCCTCAATCTCAAAGTCACTGTACCACTGTGCTGTTTCAGAGTAAAATAATAATGTAAGAAAACTGCATTTCTTTCTCAAACAGAGCCATTGATTTGAATGTGTTCACATTACGTGCACTAAACCTTGTTAAGTGTGAATGTGTCAATTATTATTTATGCTTAAGGTATGTGTCTTTCAAACGCACTGTTCCTTCAAAATAGTTTTTGAGCATTCTTTGGCCTTTGGAAAAATACGATACAGGAACTTTAATTATGTACTTTTTGTAGAAGCATTAAACTTTCTCTGCTTGATGGAAAATCCACCCAATGCTATTTCTGACTTGCCAGAAAAAAAAGACATTATTTTTTCATCAGTCCTCACAGTGACACAATAGCCGTGGAACAATTAAATCCCTTGTGAGAAATCTAAAAAGATGCAATATTCATATCAATTAATATTACTCCATTTAAAGGACTATGTCGATGTCATAAACAAAAATTGTTTAATTTAACATTGTGCACTTTTCTCTTAAAATCAGTTTTAGATGAAGTACAAATATGCAATTGAGCATCTTAACCAATTAGCACTTCAGACCTCGCATCATGCCAGTAGTGCAGTCCCATTGCAATCTCAGTGGTTACCAAGCTGGAACCCATCTTATCAGTGTACAATTCCTGTTCAGTACACTACACTAGTTATCTGTTCTGTAGTTGACTGAAGAAAATGTTATCTCTGTTGCAGTACAACATGTATACATTACACCACCTAGCTGTTACTTATTGTTTTCTATATGTACAATTGATAATGGGGAACATTATTTATGACATTTATCCAGCATACAGGGATATGCTGTGTGCAAGAATGAAGCCCTGCAAAGAGATACAGACATGTATCCAAGTTTTTTTTTCCTTTTGCTTGGCTTTGTTCTACTGCCTAATCAAACCTGAAAGCGTAAGTAGAGCTACACACAGTAGATCTCTCAGGAAAAATAATGTATCAAAAACATGTCCCGAGGAATAACAACATCCAAGAATCTGAGGCTTTGTGAACGTTTATTGGGTATTTAAGTATGGTTTTTGGCTTGTCTGCCCTGCGATGAACTAGTGTCCCGCCCAGGGTGTATCCTGCCTTGCGCCCATTGCTTGTTGAGATAGGCTCTGCTCCCCCCCATGTCCCTGAACTAGAAGACGTGGTTAGAAATGGATGGATGGAAGTTTTGGCTAAGAGGAACCTCCTGGTCATATTATGAGGCGGCACAGAGGAGGGGTTAACCAGGGGGCGGCTGCACAGGTGGAGATGGGGTGGAGGTGGGATGAGTGCGACAACAATGTGAGCAGAGGAGGGTGTAAGAGTCCTATACTGTTCAGAATACAGAAAAAGGAGGAATGATTGAGATTTAAAACAGCTGGGTGAGACTGTCCTGTCTGTCGTTACCCCTCCTGAACCTCAGATAAGAACATCCATTTAAATTAGAAGATGACAATGGTGTGGAAGATGAAGATGGAATATCTGAAGCACTCAAGAGCGTAAATCACGTGAAATGGCCAATACAGTAGTAATGAAATTTAAAATCTGCTACAGCTCTTTATTTTACAACCTAATGTCACCCGCATTGCAGCAAAGATCAAGAACAAAATAATACTGTAATCAAATAAATTTTATTGAGCGCTGGAAACCAAACTACACTGCAACTAATGGCAATAATTTTCAAAGACAGATTTTCTTTTAGTGTTTTCTCAAGCCATACAATTTCTCCTGGCCCTTTACAACATGTTCTCCACATTTGTCAGCAGAGACAATTGCTTTTGCCTTTCCTACCACCGTTAGGCTCTGCTAAATTCTGGGACTTTTTGCTCAAAACAGAACAGAACACCACAGACTGGCAGAAAAGTTTGCCAGTCTTTTCTCTCTGAAACAAATGACAAACTACAAGCAAAAGAACTTCTCTTGTTAGAAATTACTTATGTTTTAATTAGTTTTACTGAACAAATAACAGTATGTCAAAGACATTTCAATCTTTTGAAAAAAAATGGAAAAACAAAAATGTGGCTTCAACCAAGCTATACATTTGACTATTTTTTACAAACTTTTATCAATAAAAGTTAAGACACTCACATACCTTGGAGTATTTACATATGTATCACTTAGGTAGTAAAGTTTCAGACATGTCTAGAAAATATTGCCACAATGCTCTTTTTCTTTTGCATTTTAAATGTAACAAAAAGACGTGTCAGTAAAATTTTCCTGAGTGAAATTTGTTCTAAGCGATTGTGTGGTAATTTATAATAAGTATTTTTCATTTTATTTTTTTTGAAGCAACTGGACACTTTTTTAAACTCTATAACATATTTATAGCTCTTAAGATGCCTGGAAAAATGTATTTTAAATTAATAAGTACCATTAAGTTAAGGACTTTTATCCATTGCAAAATTTATTGTTAAATCTGAAACATTTGATTTAACACTGATTGTTGCAACAAGAACACAATTGCACTTAAAATACATATACTGAACTAATGGAAGTTAGTGAATGTCTGTTTGCTACCCTGTATAAAACCATATAATTTCATTCCAACAACTGGAGCTTTCTTTCAACAACTGGAAAACTAAAGAAATATGCAGCTTTATAAAAAAGCTCTACACAACACATTATCAATTTGTATTCATTTTATAAAGGACAACAGGCCAAACTAACATTTAATTCTGCCACATTGCCATACTTTTATTGAAGAAAAAATATTTTTTCACCATTTAAAGGATAATAAATACTACAGCTTTGATTCAGGTAAAATTTCTTTGTACTTCATCTACTATTCCAGTTAACAGTACAGGTACAGTGTCTGTACCACATTTCGGACTTCAAAAATATATGAAATCAATTAACATCAAAATACTAAAAGGGGGAACATATTCACAAATCCATGCTTACAAAACATACTGAGCCAGTGACAGAATACTTCTTACAGTTCTGCGTTTTCATCTCTGTGAAATTCTTTCTTCATCCAAAAAGTTCCACATTACACAAAGCACGCTTGTTCTGAAAGTACCCTTTGCAGAATTATATAGGCCTGTATAAAAGTCAACAAGCTTGATCTAAAACCCTTGTCTAAGAGGCCACCGCACCTGTGACAACTGTAAGTGGCCTAACGTTTATGCGTCTCGCTCTGCCCAGAAATCTCTCTTCCTTTTGAATACTAAAAAAAAATCCTTGTGAGAAACTACAGCCCCAGTAGGAGGGCAGAGCTGTGGCTGTCCTGCTCCTCTTCCGTCAAAGCCCAAGGATGAAAAGAAAGAAAACATACTCTTCCCATGTCACATCTTGCCACCTCGCCTGCGCAGCAGCTGTGAGGAGGATGATGATGATGATAGCGCCGCCGGCCCACTGGTGAGGCATCTGAAGCCCACGTCAATCTCCCTTTCCAGGGGTTAGGCTAGAGCCAGCGCACACCACGTCTCCCCCCGGACAGCGGAGGCCACTTCAGCCGTGGACGTCAGGCTGACTCCAGTGTAAAGGCCTTCCTGGCCCGAGTACTTCACCGCAGAACTCCCGGTGCCGGGTCCATCTCCCTGTGCCGGCATCGCAGAGGAATTCACCTTTAATGACAAACGAGCAGCGCGGGTTTACTTCCCAGGGAACACCGTGACTCAATCACCACCCACAAGCGACGCGATTCTGAGCTCCTCAAAGCCCCCCGGTTTCATGGAGAAAAGAGGGCAGTCTCATATTTTCGAGTTTTTGGTAATCATCATTCCAAGGTCTAGAGAAATTCTGTTATTTTTTTAATGAACTCCTGTCTACGACCTTGCTTAAAAAAAAAACAATTGGAAATTTATGACAATTTGTCAGTTACAAGTAGCAGGTGGCACTGTGGCTAAGGCTGTGTGCCTGGAAGGTTGCCGGTTCAAATCCTGCGGCCGGCAGAGGAATCCTACTCTGCTGGGCCCCTGAGCAAAGCCCTTCACCCCAACTGCTCCAGGGGCGCCGTATAAATGGCTGACCCTGCGCTCTGACCCCAAACTTCTCTCTCCCGGTCTGTGAGTTTCATGGAGAGCAAGCCGGGGTATGCGAAAAGACAAATTCCTAATACAAGAAATTGTATATGGCTAATAAAGTGATCTTCTTCAAATACAACTACTTTTTACAAAACACATCGAAACTTTCTTAGGCAGCTTGAGGTTCAAGATTATGCACAGCACTTTGTTAGAGGGTAGTTATTTCCCTATTTTACTGAGAAAATCCATGTCAGAAATAAAAGACAAAAAAAGGCTTCCACATATAGCAAAACAACTAAATCTATATCAAGAATATACACACATTTATCAGCAAATGTCTGTCACTAACTAAAACCTCCAAAAATGAATGATAGGAAAACAGAATATTTTCCATTTGCTCTAATAAATCAATTATTCAAGCATTTTTCATTAAGATTTAGCACACACACTGATACGTTCATAACCAGGTAAGTGTTAATTCCATAAAAGGATGGAAAGGAGCAGACTACAGGTCCCTATCACATAATGTGCTTTCATTTCTGGAAGGAACCACTAACCCTCTCACTAACTCAAACTACACCAGCGGTCACACAGCACCGGCTATGGTGAAAGTCTGTGCATAAAATTCTTCTGATCAACAAAGAATATGTAATGATGTGTGATGTTGCAGCCAATCTCAATGTTTGTCGAGTGTCAGAGGAATCTTTTTCTAGACAGTGAGGACATGGGATGTTTCTTGTCTCTGGGATGTTCCAGTTTAAGCACAAAATGCATTGTGTCCATCATGATGAAAGAAGTAAAAAAAAAAACAAGTAATTTCTAAAATGAAACAGATTCACAGTACATCAGTGAGGTAGGTCTGTTCTTTAGCACAGCCTCTAAAGGGACATGGATGTGAGAATATACCACCACAATGAATCCTCCACTTATAAACACTGGTATGACTAAATCAGGAACAGTTTTCTGTTCTCACTTGCTTTTAGTCTAAAACCCAATAATATTGATTTCACTGCCTTCCACATTGAAAATGTTAAACTGTAAAAGCCTATTTCCAAATGTAACTTTGTTAACCGATATATTCTCAATAAGTTCCGGTGGGCAGCTGCGTCAGCATGCGTAGGCTGCAAAGGAACAAGTAACAGCTTTGTTCCATGCTTAAAAAAAGAAGAATGAAAAGAAAGAAAAAGTTTCGGCCATGGAGCCTTCTTCAGGTGTGAGCTCCTCAGGAAGGCTCCACGGCTGAAACGTTGTGTTTTCTTTCTTTTCTTTCTTCTTTTTTTCGGCATGGGACAAACCTTTTACATTTTCTCAATAATGTGCACATCCAAATGGTAGAATGTTCACACAGGACAAAACTGCTTCTCAGAACAACAAATACAAAAAGTGTGGTTTATTATTCTGACAACTGAAACACTATAGTTCAAAAATACATCTAACTTTTGATTTTTGCAAAATGATTTGATAGAAATTTGCAGTCCATTAATGTCATTTGTCATATTTATATGTATATAAGTATATGATTAAAAGTGACTCTGAAGGCTACAATGATGTTAAGTGTACAGTATCTTCCAGAAAATATTATATTGTATTGTGTATTTCAATAAGCAGCATGAGGAATGCGTCAGCAAAAAGTATTACCTAACATATATTATATATAATATAATTTCAACTTTTTAAACTTGAACTGTGAAACACTTAAGATACAAATGTCTACTAGCCTAAGAAAATAAAGATACAATGGGTGCTATCTTGTGAAAACAGTCACATGACGATACCGAGGTCTTTAAAAGAAAAACAAGCTACAAATACAAAACCTATGTGCACATTACACATACATTGGAAATAAAACACATGACAGACTCCTTTTTAGTTAGAAGTTCAAGGAGGACAGGTTTCAGAGCACAAGACGAGATTTATTTCCTTCCCAGAGTAGGCTATGACCTTGTGCTCTTGCTCCGATTCATTATCTTCGTGTTCACTGTAAATGCTGTATTAGAAGGTAAAGTCGGCAGGCTTTAAATTGCGTCGTTTTTTTTTTTGCGCGCCTCGCCCTGCCACAAATGCTGAAGTACGTAAAACGCATTGACCTTAAAAAAACAGTTCGAATTTGTGTTAAGAAAGAAAAAAAAACTTTTCAGTGTTAAAAGAATGTCAAATGCAAAACTGCGAGATCTGTTCTGTGTTATACGATGGCCGTAATATCCCTGCGTTTGACAGGTGTGCAATCTAGCTCGGCTCTTACCCCTGAAACGGGCCCGGACGGAGAGACGCTCTTCGAGCAGTCCTCCGAGTTGGAAGACGACGTTGACGTCGGAGTCATTGGCACCGGATTGCTGTTGCCTACGGGGAAAAACAAGTCATTTAGGCCCCGAAAAGATTAACTCGAACATAAAATACAGAATTGTGCTGCAGGCGTTTGGGTTACCGGACGAGGCCTTGGTCTTGTTCAGGTTCTTCGGTTTTCGCTTCCTCGTCTGGATCCCCTCTTTCTTCATGGCCAGCGGCCTGGGCACCTGTACAGAACAGCTTTATTATTTCTACAGCTCACCCGACACATCATTGTAAAAAAGGTACTGAATTTTTAATAAGCCAAGGGCCTTCAAACACGTCGTTTCAACATTCTGCCGGCACGGTATACGTGGTAATAATTAAACCAAATGAATTAATGCGAAGGGGAGATGTTTGCTCGACCTTCACCTGTGAGGTTATCCTTCCCCGTTAAACCTCAAGCTTTACACGGGCTTAATACGCATTTATTCGGTGGTATTTGATTAAAATCTAGGTACATTTAAAAACATAATTCATCTGTAAAAAAAAACACGCATAACAATGCCGGTTGGAAGAAATACGCCCGGGCGCGATAAGGTAACAAATCTATACTATAATAGATCTCTTCCGATTACTGAACCTTGCCATACAGAACATAGCAAGATTACAATTATTAACAGATTCAGCAGGGAGGCGATATTATTTCTCTGACTTGGTTGAAGTCCACCCATAAATAAAGATTGCTTTTATGTGCATGTCACTGGCCTGCTCTGTTTAATATTTTCTGTTTTAAAGCTAAAAGGTGTTCCAGGCTGTGTTTTCGTTTTGAATCCGGACCTAGCTGCAATTTCAAGTCCGGAGCGTTATACTTATACAGATGAACCCCCCTATATTATATTATAGATTACTAACTTTTCGCCTTTTTTTCGTATCGTAAACTATTTCCTGCACGCACACACACACAAAGAATCGATAATAACTCCGAATTAGCGAAACTTTTACGAAAGCCGGCCGGCTGTAAGGGCGCACTGCGTGTGGCGCAGGCCCCCGGACCGGACGTGCTCACCCCGTGCAGCTTGGTGTAGAGGCCACACGCGTTGCAGACCGGCTCGCCCTCCGCGTTCCTGCGCCACAGAGTGGTCGTGCTGGTGTGGCAATTGGCGCAGGAAAGCCCAATCCTCCTCGAGGAAGACTGCAGACGAGAAAAGAGGATACAGATTACTTTTAATATTAAAAAAAAACACATCAATATAAAATACACGATAAGATTCTGTTTTAAAATATCTAGTTTTGTCCGCTCATTCATGCAGGTGTCCGTGGAAGTGAAAATCTCATTGCCTTAAAAATCCCTCCGTACCAAACTGAAATATCGCACGAAGCAAATATTTTAATTCAAATCAAAAATGGTTTCGACGCAGTTTCGACTTCGATTAGTTAGTTACACGTGGAATGTTATCAGTGCAAATGCCAAATGGCCAAAGGCGTTAATTAACCAGATTCCCGAGAGACAGCTCAGTAAACAATTTAAATTAAGTCTTGGTACTTTTACGTTTGAACAATTGAATATGGGATGTAAATTCAGCTAAATAATGTGTACGGTGTAAAGGATTAAGGAGTTGAGGAAAAATGTTCGGCTTGATAAAATAATTTAAAATATTTAAGTAGAGTTTAATAAAACAGAAATTCAATGGTGTTTAACTTGACGTCGCTGTAAAAAAAAGATTGTTTAAAATACATAATCCAGCCAGTTTCACCATGGTGATTGAAATCTACCGTGAACAGTAAAACGATCCAGGATTGATCGAAAAGCAGAGGACGGAGGGTGGTTTTATTGACATTAAATTCACCTTGAACCTTTCCGTTTCTCTTTATTTACCTACTGCAGACAAGCCGGTAGAACATTCTACAGGGAACAAGTCAGGAAACCAATTAATATCGCAGGAATCTGAATCGCCTGGGGACCGCACTGAGACACCTATGTGTGATTCGAGTGTAGAATCGGACACCACAAAACTTTCCATCTCCTTACCATTCGCTTCTGTGGTTTAATAAGCGGCCGACTCAGCCCGTTCATTTTACTGTACAGTCCGCAGGCGTTACAGAGGTAGTGGCCAGTGCCATCTCTTCTCCACAAAGGCGTTGAGATGGAGCCGCAATTCACACATTCTCTGCTCTCGCCCAGATCATCCAGTATGTCTGTAAGGGAACCAAGACAACGAATTATTATCACACACAAAAAGACTGTCGGCTCCAACGATCCCGCTTTACAAACAAAACTCAATATCTTGGAACTGCAAAATATGTTTTAGGTTTTAACGGTTAAAACTGTAATACGCCTTTCTGATCGATCAAATGCTGATTGTTTTTAAAAGTAGAAAAAGAGCTGAATTGTTCAATCAGGATATTCAAAACCGCGGTGGCTTTAAAAATAACAATCCAGATAGCCCAAAGGTCATATTTTGACAGCGTTTCCTTAATTCGGTTGATGTTACCCTTGCTGAATTTTGCTGATGGTTTTTAAGTTGTCAATAACCATCAATAAGACAGATTTTGAGTCAACTCGCTTTAATTGTGCCATAGTCCACCTGCGAAGTCACCTAAAAGTGTTAATCAATAAACTGATCAAAAAGAGACGTTCTAGTTAATAATATATCACCGTATCTCTAAACAGGTATCAACCCAAGGGCCGAATTAAAATGGGCCGAATCAAGTCTTTTCTGTTCTTATGCATTGCTAACACCGCGTTATGTAATCCAAATGAAGAAGTCCTAAAGATAAAATGACCCAGCAGTCACCGAGGTGTGTATTTATAGTCTACAATACATACAATAAGACTTAATCCTGTGTCAAAGGGATAATAAACACGTTTTGAAGGTATTATCTGCCAATAACCGATCCCACAAATGTAAGTTAATTATGTAAAACGTAAAGTATTATTTAATCATTGTGAGGTGTCTACTATTAAACTATTAGAAAAGTCTTTAGAAAGAAGGGTCTGTTCGTAAAGATTCCATTAGTACATAAAACGAGGCTTTTCATATACAGGCCTATAGGACAGTCTGGATTTTAGATGAGAATATATTCACCTGTGGAGTGTAAAAAAAAATGAACATTTTAGTAATCCTTTTAGGAATCACCTGTTGATGCAGGTTTAATCCCGCTTAATCTGTCATTTTGTTTATTGGTTCGTCATAAACCTGTTTGTTTTTTGTCATTGCAACCAGAGGAATCAGGTAGGAATCAGGTTTGTGTTTTGAAGATGCTATGACTTTTTTCGCTTTACACGTGCTATTTGTCTTCATGGAGCTCCTAACTATTGTACTCTAGGGATACGCCAAATAAACACACGATCAAAGCATTTTAATGATAATATCTTCACCCTCTCAAATATATTTAGGTGTGTCCTTATTTCGTCAAAACCAGGATCTGCTGTAGCAGAAACCGAAAATAACAGTTGATAAATATGTTCTTCGCTAGAGTTGATTAAATCATTATTAGACAAACATAGTTGGTTTTAATTGATATGATTATTTTTTACTTAAACTAAAATAATAGTTGCTAAATATGTTTATTATTAGTTATTGTTCTTATAGTACAATTAAATGGCAACTCGTACTACTCGATCATGCAGAAAATTGAATTGAAAACAAAGTGCTGTGTGTTTTAACATATTAGAAGGAAAATTAAATAATATATCGCATTCAGTTCGACTATATAACAAAATGATAACCTTGCATCTTTGTTAACTTTGTAATATTTCTTGTGTGGTCACTGAAAATCGAAATAAATCATATAGTCTATATTCCATGCAAAGATAAAAGGAAACTAGGCCTATTGCTATCCAGAAGTATATTTTAATACAAACAAATTAATATTGTAATATATTAAGAGTTGGGCTACACTTCATTTTAAACAAAACGAGACTCGGAAAATCGGTAACGATTTTGAATTTTGTTGCCTTTCATAAGAACATGGTAGACAGGTCTGCACATAACTTGGCAAACGCCCCTTTGTTACTTGAACACGTCTTCTGTTAATCCATCTATCCCCACAGTGGGTTTAAAAAGGAGCCTTAACACAAATTTATTAGGACGTGGGCGCGTGCATTAAATGCCACAGACGAGCAATTTTTCACAGGTGAATTTATCGCAGCGCAAAATGCAGAAACCCACAGAACAGTGTGGAGGTGGCTTCGGGCTCCACTTTCAAGAAAACACTCGATCAGGATCAGAGCACTAAACTGTTGCACCATTCTAAAATAGAAATGTGAAAAATGTATAAAGCAAGGAAACATTCGTTTTTAGGATACTGCACTTTTTTGGAATACAACTTCACTCTCGAATACTTTCAACACGGACTTTCTGGGAAAAAAATAATTCCAGCTTGTAAATGAGCTCAGCAGCGAGAACGCCTATGGAACAGCCTTCATCTGTACATATATTTTAGGGAGACTTTTGCTTTACATTTTCTGGAGAAAATGATTAATTCTTGAGTTGAGCTGCGATACAAACTTGAAGCGTAAAATACGCCCTTTGACAATGTCGTTGAGTCCCGTGAGCGTAATACACCTTCCTGAATGATCAAATGCTGATTGTTTTAGAGGTGAAAAGAGAGCTAAATCGTTCAATCGGGAATAAAAAAACCGCTGTGGCTTTTATCAACCTTAAAGGAACAAGATACTGGAACCTCGTTCAAACCCATGCAAAACCTAACATTACTTCGATAAAGAAATATGTTTCTGAATATTTCGAACATCTCCATTGTTGAAGCCTTGTAGTATAGTGCCCATGAACTCTAACTGTATAATCTTTCTGGTCAGCAGTCTAAAATAACAGGTACGTCTTAACTTCACCGGTCTGTAACTTATGCCCAGGTCTAGATTTTGATTAACCGCTATTTTTTTTATATTATTTTCCGAGTTATCGATTAGGTAGGTTAGTGGTTGCACAATCAACACCGGCAGAGGATCAAAGCACCTTTTATGTGTCGATCTTACCACGTCCCGGCTTCATCCTTAAAAACAGGTTACATTACCACGCGGTATGGCGCGGAAAAGGAAAAAGGCTTTAAAAACGGCCCCGCGAGTGCGTGAGTGGAAGCGGTCGGCTCTGCATACCTCCCCCGGGTCCGCGGATGGGCAAGGGCGCTCCCCTGGTCTGCAGAGTGTGCAGCATCGTGTTCTCGAACGGGCCGGAGGGCCACGCCGCGGACAGCTGCGGTCCCACGTAAGGCGAGTACGGGCTCGGGTAAGATCCACTCAGGGAGCGTGTAAGCGTGCTGTACTGCTCTCTGCCGTTCACGTTCAGGGTGTTGCTGTAGCCGCTGTCCCTGGACGCCCCGTTGTTCATCGGTGGGCTTGGGGAGTAGTGATAGCGGTTGGAGGCGTGGGGGCTGCTGGCGCTGTAGGAAGGGCTCTCGGGGGCCGGCTGCGGCCACACCGAGTGGCTGCTGACAGCATGGCCCGGCTGCGAGGAGCCGCTGCCCTGCAGGTACGGGATGCTGGGTATCATTGGTCCCACCCTGGTGGTCGGCACGTACACTGGAGAAGGTGCCGTGGAGTGCATGTAGCTACCGGCGGAAGAGTCGTATCCCGCGGGGCCCTGGGACGCCGCAATAGCCAGGGTCTGGTACATGTCGCTGGGGTCTACAATTAAACTCCCCTTGGACGCCCCACTGGAGATGATGAGCTTGTTGCCCTGGTCCAAATCCGTGAACAGGGTTATGTCCTCCGAACTGGGCAGGGTGCTGTGATGTCCAAAGGGAACGTAGGAGTGTAGTGACCGGCCCTCCGTCAGCTGGTTTCCTTCAGCGTCAAGACTGGTGGCCGACGGTGACCTCAGCTCTCCAGAGGCAGAAGCGGGTCTGTCCCTCCTGTCGCTGCTGCTGCTGAAGTAGCTCTGCTCCGCCGGCGATGACCCTGGGCTGCTGGAGGACTGCCGCTTAACCATGGACCAGCCGCGTTCACTCAGGTCCATCCAGGCTCCGGTCTAGAGAACGGAGTCGAGGAAATTTCGAGGGAATCCCCTGCGAACAGGAGAAGAAACGTAGTAAGGGTGTGATAACTCTCTGAACTCGCTAAAGTCGCCTCAGATGAGGATCACCCGACGACGGCGGTCATCGAAGGCCAAGGGAGCTGATCAGACATTGAGCAATTTAGACCACCACCTTCAGTACAGAGATCACATAACTTAAAAATAGGTATATTACAACCTTGAGGGTTGTTACGTCTCCGCGGAGATAAAGTGGTCGAAGAAAATAAACCAACTAATTAAAAAACAAATCCTAGAAGGCACCTTTTCGAAATTGGTCAAAATGCGAAATACATCATTATAGTCGTGAACCGGTTACGCTACCCCTTCGTGTCAGACTCGAGAAAGGCGCCGGCACGTATTTATAACGTGATCAAGGTTAATGTTTAAGTGATGAAACTGCGAATCACCTACTCTTGCCGCTTCCAGGGGAAATTAGTTTTGACCCGCAGCACGAAGTCAGTTATGAAATTCGCTGGAATATTTCAGACGCGCCCTGTTCTGTTCAGATAACATACCTTATGGAGACACGAGTGCCAGGCAACACCGTTATTTTTCTTTGCCTTGTCCACATACGACTTACTTTCATTTTTAAATGAAATCGCTTGTCTGGCTCCAAGCACTGTGCATTCACGCAGGCTCTGCATTGATTTATTAGCAATATTGGTAAAGGCTGCAAAAACAAAGTCTAATAAAACTCCCCAAATCTCCGATAGATGATTTAGATTCGTGAGACTTTTTGTTTTTTGATGATCAAATAAAAACATTATTAAGACTCTGGTAGAACGTAATCCAGCACACAGAACCGTGAAATGAAAAGTATTTTCTATGCCACGACTTTAAGTCCCGTCCCCCTCCTTAGATAGCTTCATCATAATTACCAAAAAACCCACACAGCGTCTATAGATAGGAAACAAAATGCAATATGTCTTTGCAGCAATGAGATAACCGCTTGATAAGACCCATAACAGATAAGAGTTTAACGCAGGATAACCGTGACAAAACAATACCCCAAACGATTTAGCTCCTTCACCGCTGGCGTGTTGTGGAATACAGAAGCAGATGTTGTTTTTTTACACGGTGAGTAAAAAAAAAAGAAGAAACGTTTGAGAAAAATAAGAAAGAACTCAGACCTAGTGGTGGTGATCCATCAGTCGCTGGTTGAAGTATTCCACCGTAACTTCAGCTGATCTTAGGTAGAGTAATGAGTGGACGAGCTGCAGGCTGTCGGTGATGTTTATGAGGAGGAGGTGCCTCTGGAAGAAGCCGATGGAAACTGCGAGGCTGGTCTCTGATTGGATTCAAGTTACTCTGAGCAAATACAGAGCGCGCCGCGGGGGTGCTAGTCTCCGAGACCGCACAAAAAAGGGACACACTCTAATACAATCATTCACGTTAAAACAGAAAGCTTTGCACAGGCATTAGCACCTTGATCAAGAGCGAACATGTGGAATAACGAAAAGGGCAAATTACGTGCAGACGATCAAATCCTCTCAGCGCTCTGTACGGACGAAAAAGGCTTCAATAATAAATAGGTCCATTGCATTCTGTGGAAAAGCAGAGGCCTACAACAAAACGCATTTCTGTCGCTAATTTTCTCAATTTCATTATTTCAACGAATATCGACGATTATACCAATTTCTTTGTTAAACGAGCTTGTAAAACTCCTGTAGCACACCCAGGAGTAGGACTAGACCCACTGATGAAACGAAATCATCGTATATTGAAGGGATTTTTAGACTTATTTTAATAAGTAATAGTACTTCTAAAAGAAACAAAGAGTAGGTAACAACAAATCAGTCATATTTAAAAAAATATATATATATTTCAATAGAAAAACGACGTTACTCAAGTTATGCACAGCAAGCTGTTGTCCTCCCCCTAGGTTCCAGTTTGTTGTGCACAGTCAGTTATAATACCAAGGATTCCACTGTTTTTCAACTGCCAAACATTTCATTAGCACCGATATTGCCCACATAAAAGAATATATTCAACCGACTAGCATTCTTGGGTTTGGCAAGTAACTTAAAATTATTGTTTAGCTTATGTAGTAGCATGAGAGTTATATAATATATATATATAATTTCAGATATGAGTAGTTGGTTCTACATATTAATGCTATTTTATTTTATTGTTGGAAGAATAGAAAGGAAAATGAGTAATCTACTCTCGTTCTCCGATTACAATGAACACAAATCTTGTCTGCTCTAAAGAACAAGTAGAATAATATCGCATCTGATTTTATTTTTGTGTATTTCTTTTTAAAAAAGCGTTTTCGTCGGGCCAGTAATGCAAATCATTTTCCCAGCCGCTAATTAGTTGACTTAACTCAAGCACCTTGTTGCTCTCTGAGAAGAGTTCCAGCCCTGTGCAGCACAAACTCGCCAGCACGCTTCATGTATTTTAAAGGGATTTGCTTTGAACTTGATGCTAATTTACTCAGTGGGTATAAGAAGCGTTGCACTTAGAGGTGACAATACAAGAGTAACAATTACATTATTCATAGAAACAACGACATCGCCGCGCAGTCTCCGCTTTCGATCCAAGTTGCTGTGACGTGTCCGTGTTGGGGAGAACAGAAAGCTGTTTTCTGCCGAGTTCTGAGTCGACAGGAGAATATCAAATGCCCTTTTACTGTTTGCAGTCTGGCTATAAAACAAACTGAAGGATAATCTGTAAATTGCGGTGTTTCGGGGTAAATTGCAGGTCACCGTTGCAGTATCAGTGTCGGGGCCGTGCGTGCCAGCGCCACGGACAAGACATAGCTATATTGTTATCTGCCCTCTGTTTGTCTTCTTTTATTGAGAAGAGTGTTTAAACAATGTTCATTCTTCTTTTACTTTTATTTTTAGAAATCTAAAATGTTATCAAGCCGTTTAGAAATAGTACGCATTTCTGCAGATCAACGCATTCTTTTAAACTATTTGCCCTTCCTTTCACTTTTTGTAAGGTAATGAAACACGGCGTTTAGTGGTCCAGTATTAACAAACGAAATGTACTGCGATCTATTTATTCAGCGAAGTATTCGTTACTCACAGGAAAAAAAATAAAAAAATGGTTAGTCTCCATACTAGACTTTTTAAACTTTATTGGACTATATCCCTGGGCATAGCCCTTCACACACCAATCTTAATTTATTCCTGGCAGTTCCAGTTATGTGATTTTAATGAAGCAGAAAAGCGAGTGAATTAATTCTATTCGAACAATGGCTGTTGAGAGAGACAAGAGAGACATGCGCCCGGTAGATATAAGAACTTTCTTTCGCCCTAATAGACGACATCGCGCAGAGCACACTTTGAAGGTATCAGCTAGGTACACAGCCAAACAGTCACATGGACACAACATTTCTGTCTCTGTTTTTTTTTCCCAGAAAGTGTGCAGAATGCACGCTGGATTTGAAGTCTCTGCTCCTCTGCCCGTCCAGCTGCACCGAGCTTCAAGACTGATGAGGTGTTGGTCGGTGTGTTGCCATTCTCTCTGCTGCTTTGACAGTAACTGCTAAAGAATGACTCCGAGGAAAGGGAGCCGGACGCCTCTCTGTCTCCTAGCCCGCTATCTTCACATTAACCAGGACCGGCTGATCAGGACTGGCACCAACAAAATAGATAAACTGAGGGAACAGATGAGTAATAATCCAACATTTAACTTCAATTCTCCTTCAGGTCGATGTTGTTTTATTCATTAATATTTGACGAAAACTAGGTCGGAAAGCACGTGTAAAAAGTTTATTTTGTAGTGACCTGTGTTGATGATCATTAAACGAGCAAATTATTTTCCCCCCCTATTAACCGAGGTTATGTTTAATATATAAAAATCAACAACAAATGTTTCCAAATTGGGTGTATAACCGTTCAGTTTTTTATGTATTTTACAATATTTTGTTGCTGGTTTCGTTTGTTTGTGTTTTAATATTCTATTCAATAATATTGCATTGCCTGCGGTTGTTAAAATAGTTCATACTATTTCCAAATTTGGGGGATAACGTACAATATGGAAACAAACCTGTAACAGGGAGTCTTTATAGCATTTTCTGTTTTCATTGACAAGATAGAAATTCATAACTAAATTAAAAGTAACTAATGGTGTATACATGACTTCTAACGACCCAGACCTGGTTAAATGTAATAATATAATTAAAACAATAGGGAGACGATTTAAAATATTTATTTTGCTAAATTCAGAATAGTAGTTGTTATCGGAAAAGTAAATTTAAGACACGATACCTAACAATAGACTTTTACTTATACAAAGTCTCCGAATTCCTAATGGAGTATCCTAATGAAGGTAATTATTCATTAGAAGTTTCATACTGACTGAAGTGTGATCTTCAATGTGTTAATGCAATTTTGACAACTCGTGGATGCAGATATGTATTGTGGTTCCAAAGCGCATTAAACAAGTATATAACTCAAGTTAATAAGAAGCACACCGTTTTTGTACCTTTATTTATCGTTTGTTTTGAAACGTAAACTTTTTTTTTGCCAGGTACAGGATATGGGATTATTAACATCATTTGTCACAAATAATATCGACTATTAAAAAACATTAATACGCCTAATGTGGAATTAAATGAGAACATGCGGACAATAATACACCGTGCTGTGTCATTGTGTTGTGTTCTATTGCTTTTAGAACAATTTATTTTGTGCTTTTTGAACACCAATAAGAGTAATACAATTCGATTGCTTAATAAGAATTCATGTACAATATAGTTATTAAGATTCCAACTCGTCATTTTGTATTTGATAATCATCACACTAAAATATTTTGTTTTGTAATTATCTTACATACACGGTTATGTGTCCTGCAAATACATCAAGGTACTAAACTTTATTCCGTGTTAGTTTAGTTGCACTGAAAGATTTAAATGTTGCAGTCTTGTATGTACATTTGTATTGATAATGATTATCTGTACAAGGCGTCTTGTATTCTGATACCCGAATGCCAAAAATGGATTTTCGATTAAACTCCAACCGATGTCACGAAATTAAGTTATTTCGTTGTTCAGTATCTGATAAGACAGAATATTTACATGACAGTTCATTAAAGGACCAGTGAATAATCTCCCCCTGATGTTATATAAATTACTTTAAAATATTCACCGCATTAAATTATATATTTTTGTTTTATATCCCAAGCGAAACATTTATCATGATTTTAATTCGGCAAAAAGAATATATTGATGGAATCGCCAGAAGTATATACGCTTGATTTGTGTGCTGGGATAAGTTACACTTTGGCCTATCTGCAAATACACTGAGTCAGCGTGAGAATAATAGTTAAACGAATTGTCTGCTACTTCAACAGATTTAAAACGTTTTGCCATTGCAAGAAAACTATCGGAAAAAAAACATAAATTACACTAACGTATATTTACATAATTTATTACATCGTTTCATGAATTGAAAACGTTAGGTATTTAACGAAAAAAAACTGTTTTTTGTAAAGAAAATGCAGTTTCAATATACTAACTTTAGACATTGTAACAGAATCGAGTTTACTTTATGATAGTATATCGAGTCTACGATCGCGTCTATACTGAGATGTAAATAACTAAAGACCCTTGGGTATTTTAATAACTACCAGTTCTAAAAACAAGTTTCAGTTTGGGGAATCCCGCAGTCTGCTGATTGATATGTCAAGATATTGTCCGACAGGACAGATGCATTTTTGGCCTTTTCCCTTTGGCGGGAGGGAGCTGGTAATGTCATTGTGAAAGCAGCGTGGCATTCCGCTTGTGGACGACCACAGCGGAGGAAAGGACACTTTACTGAAATCTTAAGTCCCCAAATATAGAAATCTAAGCGCCGCACAATCCACTGCCAATACGTTAGACTGTGTGCAAGTGAACGTCAGACATAGAGTATGTATGGACTGCAAGGATAACACAGAGTAGTTTTAGAGTACTATTTTTGTTTATTGTCTACAAGTCAAGGTGTTCTTTCTCGCTCCGCAGACGGGAATCGTGTGTGGGTGAATCTCTGTCCGGTAGGCTGCCAAAATCTTAAGAGATTTTGAAAGACCTGCTTCTCAAGTCGGCAAACGACATATCCTTCAGGACCTGTTGTCCATGTTGTCTGAGAGGGGAACTGTATTTACTGCCCAGTTTTTTTCTCCGCCTTTGCCGCAGTTACGCCTTAGAAATAAAATTATAACCCACCCGGAGGTGGTGGCCCATAGAAGTTCAGTTCCTTTCCGAAGACGCATAAACACAATGACGTGTCTGTGGTTTTGTAATGTACTGACCATGGCCATAGGCCAAGACTTTGATTGACCTTAGCCCTGAGTTTTAACCAGACAGTCCTGTAATGTCCTCAGCTGCATTTCGATAGGAGATTATTTTCTTTTTTTTTAAATTAATGATCAGCTGATGAGATCATTTGCGTCGATCCCATAATATTTCTTTAATTTAAGACGTCACCATCCGACGTCCGCCCTTGAATTCCTCTCTGTCCCCTGCTCATGGCTGTGTGTTGAGAAGCAGCGGTCGGCCCTCTGTGTTGCGGGGACGATGCTCGCACCCCTACCGCAACGCGCAACTACCCACAGAGCCCGGGGCGGCCCGGCTCAGCTCACCAGAACACAGTCCGGCACAGCGTCAACGTCAGTCCCCCAAAGTCGCAGGGTCCCGGGTTCTTTTTTAGCTATTAATCATTTTCCAGTTGAAAATAATAAACCGAAATTCCTCCAGGATTCCTTACGGAAGTTGCCCATCCTTGCGACTAGACTGAAAAGTGCACTACCGCTTGGGAGTGAGCTGGCCGGACCTGGCCTCTTGCTCTAGGAACTGTCTGTCAGTGAGATCTGAAGGTTTGGATTCTGTTGATGAGGCTCCAGAACAACGAGTCTGTCTATTTACTTACGTGCATTTAAGCAGATCTTGTGACTTCAAGTAAAAAAAAAACCGAATAACGACTAAAACTGATTGTAAAATATGCTTTCTCTAAAATGACACTAACCCAGGGGCTCAGGCTCGACCCAAGTATCAAAAGATTTTTTTTTTCTGTCTGGGACTTTGAATTTCCTTTAGACAAAGGAAAGCTGTCTTAGAGCATTAGTGCCTAGCTCTTTTAGTGAACAACAGAGACAGATCTGCTCTGGAGGAAAAAACCACAAAATAAAATTGAAGAAATACTGATCTACAAATGTTGTAATTGCCTCTGTCATTTTAGAATACGAGAAGAGAATGACAAGATACTTGCAATAAAAAAAAAACGTTTCAGGTTTAAAGCGATGTATAAATTTGCCCTAAAACACAGAAGTCTAAGAGGTCAGTTGCCTGCTTAACTTTGTACTTATTTCTATTATTAAATGTGATCCTCTTGCAGGTTTGATTTACGAACTAAGGGCAGTTACCCTCTGTTCGTGTTAGCAGTCACACAACCTGATAAAGTTCAAGACCCTAAAATGTCCCGGATCCCAAGTTCAAAACTTTAATTCCGATGCTAAACCTCAGATGATTGAAACCGTATGAACTTTATCACAGGGACCAATGACGAGAAGGTTAGCTCACGAGACGAACCCGAAACATGCTCAGCCTGGTTAAATATGATCCCCCCTTTCTCAATCTTGCAATCGAAGAACAAGCGTGCACGCCAGTTTCGTTTTCAGAGGATAAGAAACTCCTTAAAATGTCCAATAATAATGAACGGCGGACATGTGATATAATAAGCTTTAGGAAAGCTGGATTTTTTATCATTCGATTATCCATTTTGTTGACATTTTCATAACATTTTTACAGAACATTCAGGATAAAAGCGCAGGGCTCTAATTATTAATAAAATAGTTTGGAAACGAAGTCAGTCTTAGTCCTTTACTTTTTTAAAAATCAAAAGACCGGCACAATCGGGTTTTGTTAATGTCTGTGTATAACAAAACGCATTTTGTTTGGAAATGTAGATGTTTTATTGTGTGATGATGAAGCTGATACATTTCCGCGATACATTCTCCTTATTTTTGAGCATTAGGTTATTTCAGATATCTAGAGAGCAATATAATTCGTGGTAATGTTTTATTTCCCATTAGATCTAAACGAAACATAACATTTCCTTCTGTTTTTTTTTCCAAAAAAAAAAAAAAAAAACAAACAAGGGAAAATCGTTCTTTGAAAATAAACACTGTGAAATTAAAATATATTCTACAAATAGCACAAAAATGTTAACAAGCAGTACATTTCTGTTACTCTAAAACCATTATTGTGCTTAACGCTTTTGTTTTTCTTAATGATCCGAATTGCAGAATGTTTTACTTGGCGCAAGAACCCCAACCGGCTATCCGGTAACAGTCACTTAGATCTAAATATTTTTCTAGAAGGGAGTTTATTTTCTATCACGGTTTTAAAATATATGTCCGAGTATAAGAAATGCTGGGACTTTCAACTCGTTAACAAACGAAGTTTTCATTAATGTTATCCCACCCAGATATGACCAGTGATTGTTTTAAGACTGAGCCCACTTTGTCAGTGGCTCTTAAAATGATTAATTGTACGTAGGAGGAACCTTTAGAAAGGTTTGCTGTGGCTACCTGGGATCTCCAAAAGGGCTTCAGAAAGGTAATTTAGTACCTAAAAAGGTTGACAGACATACAGCCCTTATAACAAATTATTGCAAAGCGCTATTGCAAAATGCGTTTTTGGATTTTGGATCGAAAACATTGTATCAATTTGTTCTCAACAAATGATTTCATGGTTAGTCATTAATCTGGACCTATATAAACCACTGGATTCAAAATACATTAGTCGGGATCGTATAAGCCGCTTGTAAGCGATTCAGAGAGACAGGTGGA